GGGACCAAGCGGAGACAGAGCCGTGGCCTGGGTATCGACAACTTGAAACAGAACATATATGCAAATGAACACATATTGTTGGGATGTTGGGGACAAAATGTGTTCCTTTACCTTCATCATGGCAAAATTTTGCAAGTTTTCCTTAGAATAGCACATTAGTACCTCAAAAGGCATGGAACTTGGTGCCATTTTGACAAGCACTTATATCTGCTTAAGCTGCAGTTGGGGGGCAGGAGGGTTTCTGGGAGCCCTGAGTGCAGTGGAGTGTGGCTTGCCTCAGCCTTAAGGAGAGGAGCCAGCACACCCCCACAGCACCATCCGCTAGATTCCCAAGGGTAAATTAGAAAAATTCTGATTCTCCAGCTTGGCTGTGTTATAATAAACAGAAATGTTCTTTAATAATATTTTAAGGCACTCCCTTTATTTCGAAGTGGGATAGATTTTGCTTCTGAGATATTTGCAAAATATAATATTTTGACCTGGAAATTTAGACATAAAGCAAGGAAAGCCCTTCTGGGACGCACAGTAGACTGACATGGAAAAGGCCTGTTCAGCAGTCTGTGGTGGGGTCAGGATAATTTGCTGTTTTCTAACTTAATTGTGAACATCCTGTTTCCAGTACTTGTGATTACTCCAATTACGAAAGATTAAACTCACCTAGAAAAAGAAGGGTCTCTTAATTCAAAGCCGACTTGCAACCTGTCCTCTCCGTAAGAGCAGAGCTTCCCTCACAAGAGGTGAGGTGCTGGGCACTCTGCGGTGAGGTGACCACACCCTCCAGGAGCACAGTCACCACACACACACACACACACACACGCACACACACACACACACTCTCTCTCACACTCCATGATTCTGACTGTGGGGGGGCGGGTCTTGGGAGCAGTGGCAACCAAGATGTGCACTTAGCGGCCCTATCCATGGAGGTCCCCTGGCCCCAGTGCACACTTTCCTGCAGGTTTGTCTCCAAAGGCCCAAGTACACAAGGAAGCCTGCTGGGTGTTGTGAAATAAACCATCAAAAGAGAACTTGCTGAAAATTCCAGAGGAGCATCTGCCCTCATGTCCGGGAAAGCTGAGAGGGCTGGCGGAATGCTCAACTTGCTGCTCCCAGATGATCAAAGCCTCAAAGAAATGGATGTAACATTCAAAGGAACTCAGAGAGAAAAAGGAGGGGACTGTCTTCTAATCATCTAACAACTTATTTTTGGCATAGTTTTTACCCAATCACCTTCCTGAGAAATAGGGCACCTACCTGAAAAAATGCAAAAAGTATACTGGTACCAAATAACACAATCCTTTTGTGCCTTTAATTATCCTTACTGTGTGTGGTGTGTGTACTAGGACATACAGACATACACATACATATTTATGACATCCTATGTCAACTTGAAAAAAGGAAATAACAGTAAGTTCAATTTGCCTTTTAAGTAACTAACTATAGATTCCAACCAAATATATTGTTTTATGTATTGGGGGGGGAGGGCACTAAAACAATGAAGAAAGTTTGGTCTCAGTGTTCTGTTAAACAAATGACCCTTAAAAATACATTTCAATTATTCTGAAAGTTAATATACCCAAGTTTTTCAAGTTGGAGCAAATTCTGGATTATCTGATGGTAAGTGTCAAAAGTATAAGTGTTTGTCAAAAAAGATTTGTTTTCCTGACAGGTTAGGCAAATGAGCACTCTCTCTCTCTCTCTCTCTCTATCTATCTCTCCCTCTCTCTCTCTGTCTCTCTCACATACACACACACCCCCAGAGCTCTAAAATCCTGACTGGCCATGTAATAGTTCTATGTTGAGAAAGAAAAGGTAGAAATGATTAAAGATGTTTGTATTAGAATTTAATAATTCGCACTATTTGAAAGCATTTTAAAGAGAGTCTCTGACTACTGAGGACTACTCCTTGGCTCCACTGTGACCCGAGGCCCCCACTGTGAAATGGGGTGCACGCAGGGCTGCCATAGCCAATGTGTTTCCAAAGGTCAGCAACATGAGGGCCCATCAAACGCTCTCACTTGGACATTCTCTGGGTTGGCACTTCTGACAAAACCGAGGGCATATCAGCCCCTGCTAGAAGCATCATGCCAGGGTGCTATGGCTGATGGTGTTTAACTGGGGACACACGGGGAAGGAGCCATAGTCTGAGCCCCCGTGTCTCCTGGTAACACTGTCCCTGAGCTGCCCTCTTCTCCCTGCCGTGAGATGTCTCTGTACCTTGCCTCTCTTCTCCTGTGTAAGAACACTCAGTTCTTTTGTTTAAAGGGCAACTTCCTATTCTGATATTAATAAAACTTATTATATTGCCGCCTACCATTCTACCACACCTAGGTTACTTATTTCTAGCCTAACTTACACAATAATCTTTTTCTTTTTCAGAAACTTTAAGAACATAAATTGTGTATTTCTATGATGTGCCCATGAAAGAAAGCCTGACATCAAATTGCTCAATTTTCCTTGTAATCCAGTGATGGGAATTGCGATGCACAACCTTACTTTCCTTATAGAATAAACAAAGTACAGAAGGCTAATGATTTAAAAATGAATATGTTAATGCAACAAGATGCTCTTCCTGAAATTTACTGTTCTGCATTTGCAGTATTCAAAAAAAACTTTTCAGACAGATTTTTAACGTCGAAGAGGGACTTGGAGTAGCCTTAGAAAAACCAAATGAGATGTGGATACACTAGTGAATTAATACCTGCTTCATTTACCAGTGTAAATGTCTTCTATTTGTAACTATAATTGTCTGGGTCCTTACTACATTACTCAGCTAAATTTAAAGCTAAAAATCATGTAATCCCCATCCTCATTTGCTGAGTCCTGCTCTGCTCAAAAACAAATCAAAACAACACGACAGCTTAGCAACTAGGATTTTCTCACCAGTAAACAATCCTCTTTAATGGGGTAACCCCCACATTTAATCAAAGTAGTTCCCTAAAGGGAATTTTGTAGTGATTTCAAAACTAAGCCCAACAAAAAAATCTTCATAATCATTTCACTTCCAAATTTTCCTAGACAATATTTTTAAAAGAAAAAGTTTTTTTCCCTTGTTTTTTTTTCTTTTTATTAATCTGGATTGCAGAAAAGCATACATTTCATTTATTGTCTGGATTACAGATTCTTATTAAACAAACCAGAGCTCATTATAAAATCAATATCAACTTAACCACCATGCCCTCAGGAGGAGCAGCAAAAAGGTCACTCCAAGAAATTCAAACAATTTTCCTGCTGGAAGGGTGTGATTTTAATTACAGATACTATTAATTAGAGCTGTCACTGGGAGGACGTTTTTTCCTGTTAATTATAACAAACTCAGTCCTAAATATGCATTTTCAACCTGCATTTTTTAAAAAAATTAATCATTTCTGCATGCAAGTCCAACCTTTCCATTCTATCAATATTTTATATTTGAATTTCAAAGTATATCAAAGGATGCCATGCTTTCTAAAAAATCCGTGCCTGTATGATCTCCCATCTCTACACATGGAGCAGGACTAGTGTGATAATTTATTTATGGACTGACACAGATGTGGCCCTGAAGACCTGGCATCCTAGATTGAGGTCCTGTGTAATAGAATTTCTGGATAAATTTTTACCAGTTTATGTGACACTTTTTTCAGACTGCTTCTTCAAAAGTGACTTTTCTTTTGCTTTGAAGCACAGCTATGCACTATGCCTGAAATGCCATCTTCAACACATTTGAAGTTGCCATTTCTTTACAAGAAAAAGATCATCCTGTGTAGGCTAGTGACCCTTTTCAGAAAACTAGAGGCTTCCTCCATTCACTGACAGTACTGAGAATTTTGAAATGGGAGGAAAATCTATCTCTTGGTCTCTTTTAAGCATGGGTATTTTATAAATTCACCCCAACCCCTTATGTGGGGCAGGGGCAGGGCTGCCCACAGAGCTAAGGGAGGCCAGTGCAGGTGAGCTCCTGGGGCATACAGCTGGGCACCGCTGGACAGTGGAGAGTCTTTTCCAGAAAAAGCTTGGGAGGCCACCCATGTAACTCTGACAACAAAATATTTGCTTTCCATTTGCTTATAAAATATGATTATTTATAAGACATATTACATATCCTAATCGTATGACTATAGAAACAAAGGCTCTACTCCAATTGGGGAAAATCTTACAAATACACATTGATTAGTCTTTTAAAGTGATTATTAAGTAAATTATATTTTACTTTCACAAATGGGAATACATATTTGGAATTAAATGATATTTTATATTAAAAGAAATCGAACCCTCTCACTTGCACATTTTCTGGGTTGGCACTTCTGACAAAACTGAGGGCATAAAAAAACCTGAGGGCATGTTTTTCTTACAGGACATTATTAAATATGAAATGTATGCTTCCAAAAATCCTATGAATTTTTTTATGCCCAATTTGGTCTGAACTTGTCTTGCTCACATTCTCATTGGCTCCTGACGTATTTCCAGGTGTGTCTGTGACAGCTCTGTAGCTACTGCCATCTCCATGGAGCTGAGTCCCCCACCCCCACCCCATCTATCAGCATTAGATGTCACTTTATCCACATAACAGCAGAGGGTGGAACGCGGTGGGGTCAGAGGATCTTTTCATAGAAGACCCCTAGGAAGTCGATGATTTAAGAGACATCATCAAACATCTACATACCAATTTATCTTGCAACTCTGGCATTTTTCATTAATGGTGGCCAAACTAAGAAAGATAACAGATAATACATAATTCATGCATTGCACATTTTCCACAATTCTAATTAGCAACCTGCTTTCAGAGCTAACAGGAGACTATCCAAGAACAGCACAAGATTAATACAGAGCCAAGCCATAAAACTGTGATTGCCAGGTATTTACATGAATGCTAATGAGAAGTTTCAAATTGTCATCATAAAAGAACCCAAACTCTGCATAAACGAACAACTGCTGGGAGTGGGGGAGGGGCTAGAGAGGAGCGAACCGATCTGCCTGTTCAATTGATACATTCTGGCGTCACTGTGAAAATCTCTCTTTACCTGGTAGGCAGTGGTGGCATCTGTGCCTGCGTGGCCCCCTAGTCCCGACAGCTTCTCCTTCAGCTTATGGTGAGAGGTGTGCCGCAGGCAGTAGATGAGGCCAGAGGCCAGGAGGACGCCCACGATGCAGGCGATGGACACCAGGGTGAGCACCACGAACTTGGTCGAATCCTCCGGCTCCGCCTGCTGAGGCAGAAGCTTGAGCTTGCTTCTCTGCAGAACAAGGGAAGCAGCACGTTAGTTCTCAGCAAACCACGGTCTCCTAACACACCCGTGCTCTTTAAATGCGGGTGGAAGTGGGAAGCTCAACAGAAACCCGACGGTGCTGGCATTAAAACCACAACAGGAGGGCTACCCGGAACAGCACCCCTCAAAGGAGAAGCAGGACTTATTTCAAAATAGCACACCACAGATTGCAGTGTTTTCACCAGGAAAGTTAGAGCCATCACTTTTTCTCTCAGTGGGGACTGTTTTCTTTCAAATTTATGTAAAGCATTTGGCAGCTTTATCTGCCGCCTTAAGTAAAGTAACGTGTCCGTCCCTGGCTTTAAACGGAGAGCAGTTTATCCTGAGTGTGCACGGCGGTCGGCAGGTGGAGGCTGCTGAGCCCGTGGCGCGGCAGGTGGCTGCGCCGGGCCAGGGCTTTGCACGTCCCGGGCCTGACTCCTGCGTCCCACGCCGACCTCCAGCGCCTCCGGGGACCTTCCACCTGCCAGCTCAGGCGCAGGCCCCAGCGCTGGACACCCAAGTGTTTCTCGGTGAGAGGAACAGCAAGGCACAGGCAACAGGACGGTCCGGAAGTTCACCTCCCAGCGGAGTAAAACTAAGGATTCCAAACTCCTTCTGTTTGTCATTGTTTCAGGGGGCGGGGGAAGGGTAATGACCGTCAAAATGTGAGAAAATCCTTTTGGTGCATTTCACTTTCCACGTGCAAAGAGGTGCCCAGCACTGTCCGCTCATTAGCTTCATCAGAAGGAACATTATCAACAATTAACCGCGCCGCAGGGCGGCGGGCGCGGCCCCTCCACGGCGCGGGCGATCGGGACGCCGCCGCCTCGGCCGCTCGCTGCAAGACGAGAACAATTAGCAAACTCCTTTCGACCACCTAATTTCACATGGTAACAAAATGGATTTTTCCCCATGAATGCCCGGCCGGCCTATTCATTATCTCTCCTCTATTAGTAATTTTCTCCCCGCATTCAGCCTCCAACTCTTCATTTCCTCCGGCCTCCGAGTGTACACAGAGCCTCGATGTCAGGCCGGGCCCATTTTATCTTGTAATCATAGAGGCCACCAAAGCAATTATTGCCGGTCTTGACTGGAAAAGCTGGTCATTAATTAGCCTCCTTTTTGCCTTCGGTGCAGCGGATTAGCTGATGCTGGGACTGAGTTAATGGAAACGTGGGTTAAATGAGAAAAGACGCCCGGATTTTCCTTCCCGGATGCGCCGCTCCGAGGACCGCGGCTGGAGAGCGGCGGGAGGAGGACGCAGCAGGGGGAGGGAGCGGAGGAGGAACCAGGGGAGGGACCGGTGACGAGCAGGGGGAGGAGGCGCGGCGCCGCCGGCTGTCCTCCGCACACGGGGGAGACCCCCGCCCGCCCCCTCAGCCCCTTCCCCTCCCCCTCCTCTCCTGCCCGGGTCCGCACAGTCGCCTCCAGAAAGAAGCCACTCCAGAGAACGCCCAAGGCAGTCCCCGGCCCCTCCGCGCCCTCTCCCCGCCCCGCGCGGGGTGCGGACCAGAACCACGCAAATCAACCGGAGAGACCCCATCGCAGCGCCCCGTGACAGGGCGGGGCGGGAGGACAGCACGGCCTCCGCGGCGGGGGGGGGGGGGTCTTCTCTGCCCCCGCACGGTCGTGTACCGGACCCTCGGTGGCCTCCTGGCGGGAGGGCGTCGTGGGCCTCAGCGCACAGGCAGGGCGGAGAGAAGCCTCCCAAACCAGGCTGGGGACGCCCTCCGAGCGGTCGGAGTGTGTGGGGTCCCACCCAGCCTCACCCGCACGGGAGGCCAGAACCGACACCCAGCTGGGTGGGCGCTTCCCTGCTCTCCCCTTGAGTCCCACCAGCCGAGGAGCCCCTGTCACCGCCCAGAGTTCCTGTAGGACCCTACTCGCTTGGGCCGACGGAGCAAGAATCACAACAAAGGAAGCGGCGGAGGCGGTGAGGGGTGGCGGGGCTGTCCTCTCACCCCTGGTCGGGGCCGAGCGCGCACCCCCATCGGTCCCAGCACAGCAGACCCTCGGTCCCCGCGTACCCGGGTTTCGGGAACCCCGCGTGCCCACGTGGCTGACTGAGCCTGGGAACTGGGACTTCCCGAACCTTCCTGCTCAGCGATGTGAGGCGAAAACGTGCAGTGCCGGCCTGGCGCTGAGAGAACCTGCCCCCGGGGGTGCAGCAGACACACTAGTGCGCATCCGACCGACGGTCCCACCTGGGCTATGGGCGCGCGGTGGCGTGGGTACTCGGGAGTGCAGCCTTGCGGGGCGGCCTCGGCATGCTGAGTACAAACAACTGGGCACACACTCTGCCCTGCTGTCACTCAGCCAGGTGACCCGCAGTGACCCTGCAGGAGCTGCACCAAGTAGGCAGTCGGCCGACGCCCACACGTTTACCTGGCCCAGACCTCTGGACAGAAGGGACCACGGGCAGGACGGTCCTCTGGGGACAGCACGGAAGCTCTTCCCAGAGAGGTAGGGTGGACAGAGCCAGGCCGCCCAGGTAGGCTCTGTCCTCCTCTCCGGAAGCCAGCAGTCGCGGTGACCTTCGACGGGAACGAAACACGGTCTGCCTGACTGCCCTTCCCTGGGAGAGCTCGGATTTACTAAGAGGTCAAAGAAAAATGTCAAGGAGAGTGCTCCAAAAGCTCCAGGTCCTTCCCCCCCTGGGCTCCAGAGAAGATTCGAAGGAGCGGAGGGAAGAGGTGACCCCCAAGACTCGAATCCCTCGCTCCTCCCCAGCTACCCGGTTGCCTGGGCTCGAGGTGCTCTCGCGGAGACGGGAACGTGGTTCTCAGGCAGGTGGGAGCCGCTCCAGGCCCACCTCCCCGGCTCACCCGCAGGCAGACCCTTTCTGTAGCGTGCGGGAACCGGGAGGTGAGACTAACCTACCCGTTCTCACACGGGTAAGGGGCACCGGGTGGCGGAGCAGCGGGCAGTGCGGGGCTTGAGGGAGAGGAGGGTCTGACCAGGGTGGGGGAACAGTGGGATGTTGGACTGAGGGACCAGTTGAGGTCAGCAGAGTCTGACTCTGAGGTCGCTGGATCGTAGGGCCGGCAGGGAAACCCCTCTCACGATGACCGTTGGCACCGGATGAAACAGTGAAAGTAACTCACCCAGGGCTTCCCCCACCTTGAAATGTCCTACCTAGAGTTTGGCAGGAGGGTCAGTGAGGAGGGAGAAACTGTGGGCTTCAAGTCAGATCTTACGAATTCCAGAAGAAACGAGTATTTATAGAAATTCTAATTTTTTTTTAAATGAGTGAACTCCCCTTCTTGGCATAGTGATGGAGTTTAAATAACTTGACAATTACTTACTTTCTTTTTGTGGAGTTAAAAAATATCTTAAAATCTCTGCTAACTGCGAGCTTTAAGGGAAACCAAAGAGCCTGCTGTGTCCTTAAAAGTTGAGTTGAGGCTTAGTCCTGACCCGGGTGTGGTTCCACGGGCCTCAGCACCGCCCGCGCCCCCCGCAGGTGGACCACAGGGACTTTGGGGACTGCCTGGAAGACCACAGACTAATTGGAGGCATCTTATCAGTCCTGACTTGAAATTGAAAGAAAATGATGTTTAAATATTTATGACTTTGACATTTACAGTCAGACGTCTTTTAAAAAGCAGAACACCTCCTTCTGTACAGTGGCAGCTAGATTCACTGAAAGTTTGGAACGAGGGGGGTGAGGAGGAGGAGAGTGGAGAAGCAGTCTGCAGAGCCTGGTGCCCCAGCTGCAGGAGTGTCTGCCTCCCAGGGGCAGGAGATGCACACACAGCGCTTCAGTAGCAAGTCCTTGGTGCAGGAATTGCATGACTTTTAAAAATAATCTGGAATAATTGTCAATTTTATATCAAGTTAGATTTATCTTGAGAGAAAGCTGAAGTGCAATATTGCATATTTCTTCCTCTCAACCATCTGTACCTGCAACTCCTCAAATTTAGAATATACAATATTGCAAAAGTTGTGATTCACAGTAAATGTATGACCACAGAGACAATTTCTGGAACTGCCTTAGAAATTAGAATCTACAGATACTGTCCTGATGGATTTAAATTATTTTGATCTGTACTTATGGGGAGGTCCGCAAAGGGCTTCCCTTTCCAGCTCTTCAGTGCCATTTGTGGTGGGAAGACTTCAGAACTTTTCTCAAATGTATTAAGCTCAAAAGAAAAGAGAACATCTAAGCTCAAAAGAAAAGAGAACATTCTATACCCAAATGCAATTGTAAGAACTGATGCAGTCACACAAATACAAAACTTTATGGCAAATATTTGTTGACAGGTAGTAAAATTTAGTATTTTGCCAGGGTTGTATGATGTGACCAGTTAACAAGAGAAGCCCATTCTCCGAGTCACTGATGTATGATTTTAAAATAGGCTTTAAAAGCTTATGAACACAAGCATTCTGTTTCATTAATATTAAACCTCTAATATTGTCTGTGTTTTTATTAGTATCATTTCTAAGGTGTTTGTTTTGTAATCCAGCCTCATCATGGGTTTGGATGCATTTTTAGGACTATAATTATAAAGACTTTTCCCCTGTAAAACTTAGAAATCAGTTCCAGAGATCATTTGTGAGTTGCTGTAACAAGCTTGTCTTGGGTTAGATGAATCATCTTAGAATTATTCAGAAATTTCATTCTATGTTTACTAAAACATATTGACTAAATTATAACTACTATCATTTTAGCTAATCAAAAATATTAAGTTTTCAAGTCATAGCAAGTGACCAAACTTAAAAACATGGGGGAGGGGTATCTTAAAATATTTTAAAAGTATTTTTTAAAGCTGTTAACTGAACTATTTTTAATTTGGAATTTGCCACAGAATTCTAATAAATGAGAGAAGTCAAGCGGAAATAATCATGTATTAATTCTCTGCATTACAAAATCTTTTCAGAAGCTATTATCAGAGCAAGAGGCATTGCGGTCTGAATTCAGGGTGGGAGAAGTCCTTTGTGCAACTGAAAGCTATTGTTCCTCTGTGCAGATGAAATTGTACTTG